GTGTCAGGAAACACACCCGGCCCCAGCTGACTCAGCCAGGGTGCAGGGCCAATGTGAGAGCTGTTTGGGGTGGTTCTCCGTCAGGCTGCCCATTGGAATTACCTAGGGAGCATTAAAACTACAGAGGTCCAAATCCTACCTTCAGAGATTCTAGTGAAGTTGGTCTGGCATATTCCTGGGCCATCAGGATTTTAAAACATTTCCCAGGTGATTCTAATTTATAGCCAAATTTGAAAACTAATAGGATGCATGATCTCGTTTCTATGTATTACAAAATAAGACAATTCAGTTCCTTTTCCAGATAAGGAAGCATGGTATAAATAAGTACAAATAAATCTGATAGTTTCTGAAGTATATATAGTTTGAGGCATTTTTGTTTGATGCTCACAAATTTAAAATTACTATCTCTTTCTTATCTTAATGATAATAAATTACTTCCTTTGCCCTAGTAACACTTTTCACCTGGAGTCTTATTTTTCCCCCTGATATTAGTACAGCTACATCAGCTAGCTTTCTTTTGACCAGTTAAATGTGTATGTGTGTGTGTGTGTGTGTGTGTGTGTGTATGTATGTGTGTGTGTGTATGTGTATGTGTGTGTGTGTGTGTGTGTGTGTATATATATATATTTCCATCCTTTAACTTCCAAACTTCCTATATTCTTATGTTTTAGATGAGTACTGTGAATGGAATATAGCTGAATTTTAAAAAACCTACTTTAAAAATTTTTAATGTCGATGCTCTATAAACTAGAGCACTCAGTCCTTTTACATTTAATGCAATTAATGATATATATTGGTGATAATATTGAACAACTCAGAGGGTACTTTGTGGAGGTTGTAGTTCTCACAAGTGACCATGAGAGGGCGACTCCAGTGGACTCACAGGCATTTACAGCCTTGAAGAGACCGAGGAAATCAGGAATTTTCTCTCTGGGTTTCCACCACTGCATCCAAGGGTGTGCCTTCCCTATAATGTTTGGGCATCCTCTGACCATGGGAAGAACAAGGATATGAGCTGGGGGACAGCAATGTGGCGAACTGGGGGACAAAAGAGCCGTCCAGTTGTCTGCCCATCCATGGGGTAAGTGTAGCTGAAGATATTCATTAGGTTCAGGGCAGAAGCTATTTACCGACTTGTATAGCAAATTTTAAATACTTTAATAACCAGCACTGCTATACAGGCCATTTAGAATAATAATCGGTCTGCTTATATATTTTGATTTAAATCCACCATCTTATTTTAGTTGTAATACACATTCCCTGTTGGTTTTTCTCTTTCATGTCCTCTTTTACTATTTCTTCTATTCCCTCTCTTGTAGCTTTAAAATATATATATATATTTTATTTGTTAGTTTGAGAGAGAGCAGGGGGTGGGGTGAGAGAGGAATAGTGGGAGAGGGACAATCTGACTCCATGCTGAGCCAGAGCCCAGTGTAGGGCCCAACCCCACCACCCTGAGATCATGACCTGAGCTGAAATCAAGAGTCAGACACTTCAGTGATGAGCCACCCAGGTGCTCCTCCCTCTCTTATAGCTTTTAAGTTTTACTACATTCTTTTCTTTTTTTTTAAGTAATCACTTAAATTACTGGCAATTACATCATGCATCTATGACCTTTTTTTTTAAGATTTTATTTATTTGACAGAGAGAGACACACAGAGAGAGAGGGAACACAAGCAGGGGGAGTGGGAGAGGGAGAAGCAAGCTTCCTGCTGAGCAGAGAACCCAATGCAGGGCTCGATCCCAGGACCCTGACATCCTGACCTGAGCCAAAGGCAGACGCTTAACGACCAGTAAGCCACCCAGGTGCCCTCATCTATGACTTTTCACAGCCTGTTGTTAATTGATACATTTACTTACTTCCCTAACAATACAAGGGCCTCAGAACACCTTAATTCCATTTCCTCCCAGCCCATATTATCTTCCTGTCATGCATTTTAATTCTTTGTGTATTTTTTTAAATCTGTAAGACATTATTATTATTATTTATAGACAATATTTATTTACATTTACTACCTTCTTTGTTGTACACATCTTCTTGTAGCTCTGTTATTCTGGGATCATTTTCTTTTTGCCGAAAGCAGGTTCTTTACAATCTTCCTTAGTGAGAGTATTCTCTTTGTAAATGTTTTTATTTTGCCTTTATTCATAAAAAATGTTTCTCTGAAGATTGAAGAGCTTGGCAATTATTTTCTTTTGGCCACCTGAAGATGTTCTACTGGTGCTGCCTGGGAGCTGTCAGTTACTCTAATAAAGTAATCTGCCTTTTCCTCTCTGGCTGTTTTTAAGATGCTTTTCTTCATCCTTCTGCACTTACACTATTGTGTGTCAGTATATAATTCTTTTTATTGATCCCTGAAATGTAGTAAACTTCTGGTTTTGGTGGTTTAGTATCCCTCTGAAAGGTTTTCAACCATCATTTCTTAAAAGACTGCCTCTGCTCCATTCTTTTTTTGGGATTTTGTTTATTTTATTTATTTATCTTATTAAAGATTTTTATTTATTTATTTGACAGATCAAAGTAGGCAGAGAGGCAGGCAGAGAGAGAGAGAGAGAGAGGAGGAAGCAGGCTCCCAGCTGAGCAGAGAGCCCAATATGACCAGGACCCTGAGATCATTCCAGGACCCTGAGATCATGACCTGAGCCGAAGGCAGAGGATTTAACCCACTGAGCCACCCAGGCGCCCCTGGGATTCTGTTTAAATGAGAGACTTTCTCACAAGATCTAATCAACTCTTTTGCATTTCTTCTTTTCCTCTCTGTGCTTCATTAGGATAATTTCTTCAGCTCTACTTTTCACTTATTAGTGCCTTTTCAATGGTGTGTCATATATTGCTAAACACAACACATCCAATAATTAGTGACTGATTAGTGTAGTTTTCATTTCTAGAAGTTGTATTTGATTTTTTTTTTTTTTAATTGGCTGTGTCGAGTGCCTGGGTGGCTCAGTTGGTTGGACGACTGCCTCTGGCTGAGCTCATGATTCTGGAGTCCCAGAATTGAGTCCCACATCGGGCTCCCTGCTCGGTGGGGAGCCTGCTTCTCCCTCTGACCTCTGCCCTCTCACGCTCTCTCTCTCTCTCTCTCTCAAATAAATAAACAAAATCTTAAAAAAATTGGCTGTGTCACTTTTTATTGTTATTGTTTTCTATTTCTGGAAGGTATCTTCAAACCTGATTTTTTTCAACTTAATAACTTTTTTTTTTTTTTAAGAATTGCTGTTTGATGGGGAGAGTATGTGTTATGGTGAGTGCTGTGAATTGTATAAGACTGATGAACCACAAACCTGTACCCCAGAAATAAATAATACATTATGTGTTAATTTAAAAAAAATTTTTAATAAAGAAAAATACCAACTCCCCCCGCTCCCCCAAACAATGATATCTGGGGAAAAAAAAAAAAAGAATTGCTGTTTGATTAGTCTGGTATCTGATGTCCTTCAGGTCTCTTTCTGTTGTCTATTGTTTCTGTTTCTTCTCATTCATGGTGTCTATGCCTGGTTATCTTGGACTCTGTGCTAGCTATTGTACAAAAAATTATTTGAAGCTTAGGATGAAAGTGCCTTCCTCTACATATGATTTGTTTTTTACTTCTGGCATGTTTGGGATCACCATAAACCAAGTTTAAGTTTCCCTGGAAGACAAATCAAACTGCAGTTTAAGCTGCAATTACTTATAAGGGCTCATGTACTTATAATTCACATTTACCTTGAAGATGTGGTTCTTCTGGGTCTCAGCTTATTGTGAGGAGGGCCTATCATTACACTCTCCACCTTGAGTGTACATTGATTTCTACCTCCCTTGTTCCTGCTAAGCTATCAAAACCAGTTTTCAAATTTGCCAGACTTAGCAAATTTCATAGAAAAATATAACTTTTGTACACATTCATCTCTCTGAGTTACCTTTTCCCCATCATTCTCTTCTTGGTAATTCCTTAATGTCTTGCTAATTCTTTGAAGGCTTTAGAGATGATATTATTTAAAACCAGTTTTTTAAATTGTTTTCCATGGAAAAGTTGGTCCAAATAATGTAGCCCAACATTATTAGAAATGGAAAGCCACATAATGTCTTTCTTGGCACATGGTAGGCTCTCAGTGAATGATGACTGAATTAGTTGAATTATCATAAATACCCAAGCACGGTCTCTTTTTTTGCCTGTCTGCATTTACAAAGACTGCTTCCTCCCCTTACGATGCATAGAATGCCCATATTTCACCACTGATAAGGGTTAGAACCAGTGCCACCTCTTCCTCAAAGTTCTTCCTGTTTTACTTACCCAAATCTGAATCCTATTTCTACCCCAGCTAAACCCTCATGAGACCTGGTCTGTATTATTCTGGTTGCTTAATATATTAATATTAGAAATATAGGCAGAAATATATTAATATAACTCTTTATCTCTTCTGTGGATTTGTGCTTTCTTGACTTTTCTGGGCTTCTGAAGAATTTTCTCACTCCACCTCAAGCTCAGCATACATTATAAACTGATTCTCTGGAAAATGGCATATCCAGTACTTTAAGGTTTGATGTCCTGGGAGGGGATTCTTTGAACATTTAGTCTGCCATATGCTGGAAAGAGGCCATAGCTCATTCTAATAAACCCTTACATTTGTACAGCTCTTTAGAATGAACAGGGCGATCTCACCTCCATGTCTGTTACTTGTGTGCTGCAATCATGCTGCAGATGGGAATCAGAGGGTAAAAGAGACCAAATAATACACCTGAGTAGAGTCACAAAGCCATAAATGGAATCCAGTCTCTTCTCTGCAAGCCCAGGGCTCATGCCAGCCCACCACCACTGCTTCCCTCAATTATTTGTGTTGCTATTCATTCCTATAGCAATAGCACCTAGAACTCTTTGGAAGTAATACTCGAGAGTAATACATGAGAGTACGTGTAGTGTAGAAGTCAGGTCAGAGGCAGCTGACAGAGGGGTTAGCTCTGTGAGGTATCCCACACGTGCCTCTTGAATGAAGGCTTTCTGATTCTCAGTCCTCCTTACCTCACAACCTTGGTCCCATTTCTCATGACTTGCATGTCCACCATACAGCCCCCAGTAACATAGGCAGCTAGGTTCAACTCTGAGAATTCAGCCTGAAGGAGAAAGCAAAACACAAAAGGATTCATCAAAAACTAACGACGCTAAAAACTACTAACATTTATTGGGTACTTTATGTGCCAAGTACACATTTATGCCTCTCCTGAAACTTAGAAAGTTGGTAATATTATTTACTTTCCTTTCTGAAACCTGAGGAATCTGAGGTGCAGAGGCATGGTGTCATGTCCAAGGCCACATAATTAATAAAAGGCAAAGTTAGATCGAAACCCACCTGTCTCTGATTCAAGGACCTATGCTTTTAACCACTACTAATTTCTACTTCCTTGAAAGCAGAAGAAGCCACTCCAGCTTCAGGACTACACGAGGTCAAAGGCTGTTCAATATAACATTTTCCCTAGATTTCTTCAGCTTCAGGTTATGCAGTGGTAAAACATCACGGCTAGTAATCGTGTATCCCAATTAATGGAGTCCTCCTCATCATCTGCCCATTGCTTCCTCTTTTGGTCATGGCCCCTCCCCTTTATCCACCTACATGGTTACAGTATAGGCAGCATGTCTATGCACTGAAATACTGCTCTCACCGTCACAGCTGATGGGGTTGGCGCCTGACCCAGGGTGTAGGAATAAGGTGCCCTTGTATTAGAATTTGAAACTGCTGAGTGATTCATGCAATTTCTTTCTGGGGCTGTATTTAATACATAAAACCTAAGTATAATTAAAGACCATGTTTCCTGCCATCTGGATTGGGAAAGTACAGAAAATAAGGGGGTGGAGGGAGAAATATCACAGTCACTAAGAGAGGAGGGGTAGAGGCAAGAGATGAGGAGTACTCTTGATGTTTATGTGCCAGCTACAATCCTACCCTTGGGTTTTAGGCAATACCTCTGTATCTTTGTAATTTCATCTTTTTTGCCTTTTTACTTGTTTAAGCAAGATCTGCTGAATTTCTGTTGCTTTTGACCAAAGCCCTATGGAATACATCCCTCCTACCAGATTATACACTCCCTGGGGACAGTGATTCCATGTTATTATAACCATCTAAGTTTCATAAGGTCACAAATACACCACTAGGTGGCTTAAACAGCAAAAATTTCTTTTCCCATAGTTCTGGAGGTTAGAAGTCCAAAAATAAGGTGTTGGTAGGGTTGGTTCCTTTTGAGGGCTGTGAGGAAAATATCTGTTTCAGGTTTCTCCCCTTGACTTGTAGATGGCCACCTTCTCCCTTCTCATCACACCATCTTCCTTCTGTACATGTCTCTGTATCCAAAGACACCCTTTTTATAAGGACACCACTCACACTGCATTAGAGTCCACGCTAATGACCTCACTTTAACTCTAGAAAGATCCTATCTCCAAATAAGATCACACTGAGGTACTGGGCTTAAGACTTCAACATGTGAATTTTGTGAGACAGTTGAACCTGTAACCCTATCCTAGAAAATGCATAGTACCAAACTGTGCCTTACACAGAGAAGATGCCAAAAGCTATTTCTCAAGATTAAGTGAATAAAAATAGCTTCTCATACATATGAAAAACTCACTATGTGCCAGATACTGTCCTAAGCATTTTACATGTACGAATTAATTTAATCCTCACACTTATCCAGATGAAAAAACCAAGGCAAAGAAAGATTAAATAACTTGCAAAATGTACACAGTAAGTAGCAGAGCCAGAATTTAAACCCAGGCAGTCTGACTCCAGCCTATGCTTTTAACTGGTATAGCCCCCTACTCCCACTGCTTAGCTCAATCAGGCACTGGGTGGATTACAACTGGGAATTTTGGGGACCTAAAAATAACCCAGTTGAAGAGAAAACCAAGTTCATGTTGAAAGGAAATATCATTTCACAGTGATTTAAATGTATCCCCTTGGAAACATTTAACAGAATTATGACCAAAGACCTACTCATCTCCCCAGATGACATTAAAGGAAACCCAGAGCACTTATGTCTCTTGCTTTAATTAATAGCCTCATTATGTTGTGGCAAGGTGAAAAGCAAAGAGCTCCGTTAATGAGTTCAGGTTAGTAAATAGTGGTAATGACCTGTTTATTACGTCTAATGCCCTAAAAATTCAGTCCCATCATGTTTAAGATACTTCATTGGCAAGATTACAAAGAAGAACTGGCAATAAAAGTTGTTGCATGAGTGTGCAGAGAAAAAGAAGTCAGAAGAAAGTTGCAACACAGAACATTTGGTTACCAAAAAATGTGAAGAAATGGAGTAAATCAGTGTTTTGAATGATAGAATCTCCAACTCCAAGGTGGCAAAGCCCCGGAGGCTTTCTTGCTGCCCAAATGGAAAGAGATATCTATATAAAAGACACACTCAGGCTTGAATATACAAGTTAGAAGTTCATCGTGTTCAGCTCAAGGTTTCTAGAATTATCTCCCAGTTATGGTTTATGAATGATTATAGGAGGTGAATGCTTGGGTTCATAGTGTAGCAAGTCTCTGTTGGATCAAGCATAGAGAGTTGGGGTAGCGAAGAGAGGGCACTCTTCTGTATTTTACTTTTTAAAAACTTCAACAAACAAAACTTGGAAATGAACACAGAAGTATCCAAGTACTTTTCCTTCAAGATAGTATGATGGCCCTCTTGGTAGAATCTCAAAGAGCACCTATTTTTGAAGAGCCTCAGAGTTCACATAGAAACTGTAGTGGGGAGGAGGGTCAGGGAACGGGTAAGCCTGGTGGTGGGTATTAAGGAGGGCATGTATTGCATGGAGATCTGGGTGTTACGTGTAAACAATGAATCTTGGAACACTACATCAAAAACTAATGATGTATTGTATGGTGGCTAACATAACACAATAAAAAAATTTGTAAAAAATAAATGAATAACCATTTAAGTAAAAAAAAAAAAGAAAGAAAGAAAGAGAAACTGTAGTGGGTTGAACTGTCTCCCCCAAAAGATATCAAAAGATATCACCACACCCTAACCCCTGATACATAGAAACGTGACCTTTTTTAGAAACAAGGTCTTTGCACATTTACATCTGTAGTCCACCTAGAATTAATGTTTTATATAAGATCTGACGTAAGACTCAAGGTTCAATTTTTCCATATGGTTTTTCAAATACTTTACATTGTTTATTAAATATGCTTTCACCGAATTGCATCAGTGCCTTTGTCAAACCTCAAGTCACTTCATATGTGACCTGTTTGTCTATCCTGGAGTCTAGTCCAAGTTGTCTCAATTACTGCAGCTTTACAGTAAGTCTTAATATCAAGTAGTACAATATTCCAAAAGGGAAGTAGCCCAAAGAGGGCCCAGTGATAACAGGTCCAAAGACAAAGTAGGATGACCACCCCTCTGTTCAGATAAAGTCATCCTCCTCAACCACTCCAAAATACGGTCACTGGGCAACCAGATGAACTCAAAGGCTCTATCCTGAATAAACTAGTTGAATGTTTCCCCAGTGATATGATTGGCTGAAGGGAATGTGTTCTATTCTGATTCACACTGCAACCCACCATTGTGGCCTGACCTCTCAAAGAGCTCCTCAGGGGATCCCCACCTCTCTAAAGGTTAAAAGGAAAAAAAAAAAAAAAAAAATCAAGAGCTCAGCCCCTTCCGTTTTGTTAAGTGTGGTAGGCCGGCTGAGAGGTTAATGAAGTCAAGCACCACCATGACTTCGAGTCTTGCCTGTACTGAGCAATGGTGCCTATGGCACTCCACTGCTGTCATGCTCATCAGCACCTACAAATTTCTCTTTGCTTTATAAAGAAATTTTTGGGTTTCAGCACTGGTCTAAACATCCTCTATTATTTGCGCTTCTTTACACCTTACTGAAAGCTTGAGCCCACTGTCTCGACTGCATTACATTTTCCCCTATCTGCTATGAGGAGCATTTTAAAGAATTTATTTCCCTTATTTTTAACAGAAAAAAATAACACCATAATGTATGGCTTTGGAAGATGAAGGAGGCTGTGTATAATTTTGATTGTCAAGATTTTGTTTTGAAAGGGAAAATAATGTTATACATTTGTGGGAGATTATCTCTAGACATCATTAAAGACAGGCAGATTTTTGCAGTATTAGGCATATATGGGGATTTTGTATTTTGTTACTCTTGTTAAAACCTGGTAGCTTCACACAGTGGCAGTATTGTAGCCAATGAGATTTATCCAAGGTGCAATTATTACTAATTGAAAACTGGTGTGGGAGTTTTTCAACACTGATCTCAATTATACCTGAAAGTTCTGGATTATCTGAGTTTTCCTGTTTGTGACTTTTAAAAACATGTACATGGAGGAATCAAAGAATAGTGGGAAAGGAATTGGACTTGAAGTCTGAAGACCAGGGATCTAAATGTTGGATTTGACAATGACCCAATGACCATGACCACAGGCAAATCCCTTACCCTCCACTGTAATTCTTTTCATTTTTTAAATAAAAGAGATATAATCAACTGAGTCAATTATATCTATAATGCTTTTCATTTTTATAGCTCTTTCTTTCTCAACTAGTGTTCCCCCAATTATCACTGAAGGAAAAATTATCACATCACATCTTATGAAAAAAGAATGCCAAGCAATAATATTTTTAGTAGAAAACTGTTCACTGACTTATACTCAGCTTCAGGCACATAGTAGGTATCCAAAAGTGCTTGTTGAATAAAGTGTTATTTTTATTTCTGATGACCAGATACGTATGCATGCTATGTAGCTTGCCTTGTGAAACTCTGTCCATTGCCAGATCCATTAGACACCGTAACACTGTGGAAAGTTTTTCTAAGCAGAAAGGAGGGGAAAGGCCCAATCTAAACTTCTAGTAACAAAAGCACAGGAGCACTGGGTGTTATATGTAAACAATGAATCTTGGAACACTACATCAAAAACTAATGATGTATTGTATGGTAACTAACATAACACAATAATTAAAAAAAAAAAGCACAGGTAAGAACATAGGGCCATCAGGTCAATGGAATGGTGAGATGTCTTTTGTAGCTGGGGCATGGAGTTTATGCAAAGTTAGAAATAATAGAAAGGTGGGTCAGAGACCAGTCCAGAAGGATCTTGAACTCCTTGTGA